AAAATTAATAAAATCTATTGTTCTATTGATTATTTCATTGTTCATCGCCAAAAGAAATGTTTTAAAATAAATAAATAAAATTCTTCAATTGTTAAAATATTTAAAATATTTTATAACTACTCAAATATTATATGTAGATATTATATTGCTATATTAAATTCATTTTAAGGATTTTCTTCATAGGCGAGTAAAATCATGCATGTGGATATTATAAAAGCTGATACCAAGTATCCCATGTATCAACGGCTTACTTATTAAATGTTATACAACTAAAAAGCGACTAGATGGGTATATATCTGATGCAAAAAATATGTATACTTTTTGTATCAGATACATCCACATCGAGTCGCTTTTGAAAATAGCTTTATATCACAAAGGTTTAAACAAGATATACATTTTTCTCCTGATGATGACAAAACCTTGTCGAAACGTTGTACATTTGCTGTTATGTTAAACTTATATTAAAGTTTTTCTTCATTACCCATTCAAGCCGTCTCCAGCCATTATTTTTCTCCTCTGTTCCATAAGTTTATTTAATTGAGACTTTTCAAGAGTGTAAAACTGAACCTTTATTCAAGCCAGTTTTTTTTTAATCCAGACTTAGAGCTGAAAAATCAGAGCATAAAAGAATATATATATATTGTGTGTGTGTGTGTGTGCATGTGATCGATAAATATACATCACAACTTAAAAATTTAAATTTTTTTATTAGAATATATATATACTGTAAAAGTGTAATTATTATATCGCACATTTGTACCTTTTCTTTATTTAACGATAACGATTTTAGTACAAAAATGGTTGGCTTTTAGTAAACTGAACAAACAATTTCATTAAAAGAGATGAATTCGCCCTTTATGTGCCTATCGTGTCCCGGTGGGTCAGCGGTAATTTTACGGACACATAACGCTAAAATCCTTGGTTTGATTCCTCGCACACATAGCCTGTTCTGTAGCTTTGCGCTAAAGCAACACAATTTACCTACCCACTAAATAACTATGATAGCCTTCCCATGGGCCCGGCATGGCCAAGTGGTTAGGGATCTCGACTCGCAATCTGCGGGTTCGAATCCCTGTCCCACCAAACATGCTCATCCTTTCAGCCATGGGGACGTTATAATGTGACGGTCAATCCCACTATTCGTTGGTAAAAGAGTAGCCCAAGAGTTGGCGGTGGGTGGTGATGACTAACTGCCTTTCCTCTAGTCTTACACTGCTAAATTAGGGATGGCTAGCGCAGATGGCCTTCGTGTAGCTTTGTGCGAAATTCAAAACAAACAACCTTCCCATGACTTCGATCACTAAAATATCGTGTATAGCGATCAATGAAGAAAGATATAGTTGTATGTAAGAAACAAATATGGTGTAAAACATATACAAACTTATACAGGGTTAAAGAAACTTCGTGTGTTTACTGGAATTCTGATGCTGCAATTTTTATATTCTTATAAATAAAATGTTTCCACGTAGTCACAAAAAAACTATAATTGGGAAAACTAAGTCCTTTGAAATGACAAGATTTCAATAAAAAGTATTTTTTGTGAACATAAAGACGCTTATTTCATTGCACTCACGACCCCAAAGTGCGGAGTGCATTTTACGGTAACGGGCCGCAAACCACGAACCCTCGGATTCACAATCCAAGCACGCCAATCACTAAGCCACGCCTGGTCCTCAGTTCCCAATTGGGTCAGCGGTACGTTTATGGTCTTACAACGCTAACATTCAGGGTTCAATTCACTGTGGTGGACAAAGTGCAGATAATCTATTATAGAGCTTTGCACTAAAACAAACAAAACAAAGCCCTTTCACTAACCTAAAGACTTCTAAGCATCTGAAGTATTTAGTAAATAATTTGAAAAAATTTGTAGAATAGAAATATTAGAATAATAAGTTATTAATCAGCCTTTCGTTTGAGAATTAATTTTCTGAGTAGTCGACAGTTTTAATCTATTTTTCTTTATTTTTTAAAACTAAACTGGCTTTATTTCCTTACTGCTAGAACAATGTATTGTTACAACTATCACTTCACAGATAACACGTTTAAATTTTGTATATTATGGGTATTTCGCTGCCAGAGAGCAGCTTTTTGCAAAACGAACACCTGCGTAAGTTGAAAATAACAGTAACCACACAAATAATTTTATAATGATGGATATATTATAGCCAGGTTTAATTTGATAATGAAGGATATACAATAGCCAGTTTTAATTTGATAGTGAATGATATGTTATAGCCAGTTTTAAATTGGAAGCAATTCACTTTGAACTCTAACTTGCATGCCTAAAGAACATTTTTACCATGAAATACCTAGCACAATGGAACACCAAATGCACTATTCTTTTAATACCTTATTCTCACATTTCAATTCGACAACATGGTAAAAAATATTTAATTTAGTAATAAAACGAGAATTATGTTTTGATCCATTTGATTATAAGTGTTAGCAAAAATTTTTAGATTAGGTAAAACCTTATGAAACTCTCCACCTCAAGTGGTCAATCATTAATTGAAACGTAAGTTAAACGAGTAAGAAATTAGAATATATATTATAAAAACAATTAAAATTAATTGTAAATTTACTGAGAAATATTTTTGAAAAATCTTGATATCTACACTTAAGGGAAGAAGGTTCAGAAAGCTCGAAAAAAGTTAGCCCATAAACAGTGTAGTGCATAGACATAAATTACAAAAATTAAAAACTAACAGCCTTTATAGATCAAAATACTACTAGAAGATCACTAAACATGGCGATATAAGACTTTCTAACCCTTTCACAGCATCCAACATCCAATATTCTGTATGTGTGTTTATATTTAAACGACTATAATTTATAATGCGTGATTGATAAGTTATTAACCATTAATTAATTCGAACAAAATGTACAACAAACACATTCATGTATGTAAATGGTGTTTGTATGTAATTAAACTGAATTCAAATGAAGCAGTAAATCATATTCAAAAAATGTATATGTTGATCTTTCACACTACGGCCCATAACCCACAACATATCCTGGTTTTTACAAAAACTCAATTACCTCAAACTATGCCAAATAATGCAAATACTTATATGTAAGATACCGGTACTAAAGACAAGCGCCCCAGTGGCACAGCGATATGTCTGCGGACTTACAACTCTAGAAACCAAGTTTTGATACCCGTGGTTGGCAGTGCACAGATAGCCCATTGTGTAGCTTTCTGTTTAACTTCAAACAAACAAAGGCCAAATCAAATATCAGTAGGCCAAACATACATGGATGTCTTCTAGCCCGCAAGACGATATTTTATATTGTTTTCTGGAACAGCAATCGATATAAGGTATTTTTCACATACCCGAACTCTTCTTTGAAACGTTTTAGAAGGAGGTTTGTGTGTTTCAATATTTGTTATTTTTGTGCTGACGCCTAACAGATTTCATTAATGCAGAGCGATAGTAACTCGAGGAAAAACCCCGGGCTGTCCAAACCCCATACAGGTCATTCTTGCCCCCCTACAAGAACGTAGCACGCATGGGATAGAAAGATCAACAGGTGAAAAGAATATAAGTAAGAATGATACTTTATCAAGAGTATTGTTACCCTTTCTGTTGCTGTTATAAAATCCAACGCAATCTCGTTCTGGGAATGAGCATAAATAATTAGCTTGAAAAATCCATTCGTTATGTCACCTGTCTCAGGGATTAGTACCAAATACAGGACACAAATTATGCTGTGTCAGGGGCAGTACTAAATACAGGACACAAATTATGCTGTGTCAGGGGCCAGTACTAAATAGCGAACACAAATTATGCTAGCTATGCAGGGACTAGTATTAAATAGAAGGTAAACCAGCTTGAGTAAAACACCCAGACTACTCGTCAAGCAGAACCAAAAGTTTGTCTACCATTATAAAATCACAGAGTGATACAAGTTAGAAAATAACAAAGAGAAACATCCTAATTATGAAGGAAAATATCTTGAGAGATACATAGATTTTCAAGACATGAAAACAATTATTACCGAAAATAACTTTTTATTAGATCTGGTCATCAAATCCTGTTATTTGAATGTGTGGTTTGTCTAGAGAAACATTAGTACGTGTTTAAAATCTTAAGACAAAGAGAGAGAGAGAGAGAAAGCAATCAGAAATTGCAAAATACAATTGTAAATCCTCTTAGTGTTGATATGAGTGCTGTAGGTAGGCAAGCTAGTTTAAATACAAAACGTAGAGATTAAATTTTTGATATTTTTTTAGTGTTAGTTATCTGACTGAGAAAGTTAAAGAACCATGTTCAAAAACAGAATGAACAAAGTAACAACGAAAAATGGATGAAACCTTCCAGAAATTATCTTAGTAGTCTTTCCAAATAAGACTGAGAAAAGTAAACACCTCTAGAGAGCTATTGTACTTACGTTAGTAATACACTCAGGTCAGGTCAAAAAACTGTAATTACAGGTCAAAGGTAAAAGTTACAAAATATTACTATCGACAACACTAACAAGAAGAGAAGTTTGTATTCATTCATAACGGAATTAAAAGCATGCATGTTTGTGTTATTTCATAATAGAGGTTTTGTTCTTGTTCATGGCCTTTTTCATTATTTTATTCTTTACTTTTAACGACAAAACGTATAGTACGATTATATTGTCGTAGGTGCTGATGACTTGTGTCGCTACACCAGCTTTTACTGCCATTTCCAAACCATAAGGGAACGTTGATGAAACAAACGTTTATTAGGATAAAAGGCCATCAGTGCTTGTACAAAATCTTGTGAGTAGGAAATACGTTGTGTTAGGAATTACAGCGGCCCTTTGGCTGTAGAGACCACCCTATAGCTGCAAATTCACAGCCTCGAGGCGACACGCCAACAATTCTGGGTCTTCGTATGTCCTTGGTTTGGTTTACCCACTTACTTGTATTAATAAAAGGACTACATTTGAGGAAAATAGTGCTTTTGTACGTCCGCCAGCAGTTTCCCGGAGTAACGTACTCACTTTACACTTCGTGCCTAGAGCTGTGATTAAGCCTAACCACGTGAAAAGAAGTGAAGTTTTCTGCACCTGACTAACATTTAGTCCGCCTAGAAAATCTTGTGCAAGCCTCTCTAGAATCAGTTGAGTTTGAGCATCTGACAGAACAAGCTCAAAGCTTCAAGAACTGCGGATGGCTGCCCGCGGCTCGGAAACCCACCCTGTTACAGGGAAAATCTCGCCGGCCATACAACGTCCAAACCTGAGCCCTTCGGCTGCAGGGGTCCTGGAATCTTCAGCTGCATCTTATGCAGAAAGAATAGCTATAGCACGGTAAGATTATTATTAGCAATTCAAGTAAAATTTCTGGAAAATCTACTTAAAAGTCTGAACGATCTTGAATAATTGTAGGTAGGTAACAACTTGTATGTAATCTTGTGAGAAGCGATGTTACTTAACATATGGAAGTTGTTACCTCGTAATATATGGTGATCCGCCAAACGAAACTGAAAATACGATATCACTCACTAGCCTGCTTAACTTTATGTAGGTGAAATTAATGCCGAAACACTTAGTAAAATAAGGCAAATTTCGTTTGTACTTCAACTGCAGACATAAATTATGTAGATTTATCGTCTGAAAACTTAATTTTGTTACTGTAAAGATTAGATTATAAGAATTAGTTAGTGTTTAAAGTGTATCTTATTTTAGCTGTGCAACTTTTATTAAAGTAACGTGGATCTTGTACATTTAGTTTGTAAATTAAAGATAAATAATTACATTTTATTACGTTCACAACGACTTAAGGGGGTGAATAATTATTTTACATGTCCGTGAATGTAAAATATAGCATGCCATTTCAATAGTTTCAACCTTTTACCACCAGATGGTGTTTTATAAAGTTTTAGTTGCTCTTCATCTTACTGTTATTCCGTAAAGATATTCCTTGGTTAGGAAGCAATTATATTTGATGAGGAAACTCGAATATTTTTCAAAACTTCTGAAAAATTCATTTACAGCTTTTCTCAGACAACTAGAAAGAAATTCTGTATCAGGACGTTTCATTTTTTCAGCGAATCTTTCTCACTTCATAAAAAGAGGTTATAGGATGTACGTTGGCTTTTAAATTGTTGAAAAAATAATCAGATCATAGAAATTATCCCACGTAGAAAACAGAGGACAACAGTTTATAAGAATATGGAACCAAAAATAGAATGTCGATACTGAAACAAAGTTCATAAAAAGACCTGGAATAAAAAAAATTACTAAACAAACTTTAAAATAATGATGATTATGCACAAGACCTATCTATCAGAATAACCGTGAAAAATTGTGAATCTAGATATGTTGATGAAACTAGTTGACGTCTAAAAACAAGATCTAATGATCACTTAAATGGACCATCACATGTAAATGAACACATAAAAAAGTTAGCTATAAAATTTATTACGGAAACATAAAGATACTGAAAGAATAAGATGTAAACACAAAATATTATGGAAGTATTATTAATAAATTACACAAACCTAACAATTTAAAAGACAGCATATATTCTATTCATTTCTCTTTTATCAAATGAAGACGCTTCACGGAAGGAGTAAAACAAACGCCTTAAATTGGTATAGGATTTCAGTTACTCGACAAAAGCTGAAGTTTTCATAAAGCGATTGTATTTTCCTGAGCCAGTTGATTGTTTAAAAAATCCTTAATTGCTCTCGTAAGATAATTGAACTACTTCAAGAGATGTTTAAAAAAAGAGTTGATGAAGCAAACTTCTCTGATAAGAAAGAATATGTAGTACATCAGATTATAAGAGAACGCTTTAGTTTGACTAAAAATCAGTTTCACAGATATTTTGGTATTACGAAAACTAATTCATGTCAAGATAAATCTTTGGGGAAGTGATCCTGTAATTCTAGATTGTGACAACGTTCCACTTATATAAGTTATAATGGAAACTTTGAATAACCTTTTATGTTTAAATCTGATGCATTAATGTTGTTGCTGTTTAACAGTAATTATACCCAGGGGCGTAGTTTAACATATCATTACACAAGACACACATGCTGAAAACCGTACATAAAGCATTCTATCTATCCCTAGGCTTCTAAAAATTTGAAACTTATGAACTTAGAACTTTCAGTTTCATTTACGTAACTCCTACTCATTAGCATATGGGATTTATAGCATATCCCAGTCTATAAGTGGTATTTTATAGCATTTCATAAAATATGTAATTATAAAAAAGTAAACGTTCCAACTAGTTTCAGTTCTTTCCCCCAATAATTCACTTCGAAAGTTCGAGTGTAGCTATTTCCGGAATCAAAACATTGAACTTAGTTTTTCATCATTTATGAAATCTTCCACATTATATCTATGGCATAATTATACAAAACTAGATCGTTAGAGAACAATGATATTTGTAGAAACACTAACTCATTGGTATTTTGGACTGTATTTTATGTACTGTCTTCCTTATAAACTGTCCTGTAAAATATGTAGTCTTACAGGAATATGTATCTTGTTTTTCAATTTGATTCTATATCCTTGAAAGTATGGTCGCATTCTTATAATTTCGTTGCTAGGATTTGCATCTGATATATTATGTTTATGTTGTAAAAATCATGGGTGCGTATCTCGTCATAGTAGTCGATACGATACGTATCTAGATACAGAAGTTTTACCAACGGTTTGTTACAAAGTTTGACAGTCTTGTCTGTAATTCATTATCTATATTACTAACATTGTCTTATTTAAGTACAGTGTTTTTTCTTCAAATTCTCAGGTTTCATAAACTAAATGACAGCTGGCAAGAGAAGTAAAATAAAAGAAAGTTAATATTTGTCTACCTATTTTGTTATTGTTAACTTGTTATGTTACTTTGCATGTAATGTTTTTGATAAAATAAATAAACACAACATGTAGTACTCAATACTCATCTTTCTTTATTGAATCATTAATTTTTAGCAAAAATGCTTTATTGGAAATTCTGATTTTTTCTGTACAAAAGACGTATAATGTTTACTGAAAGCTTGCGAAATTTCGTGAACATATATAAATCGTATCGGACGATGTATCGATATAGTCGTATCACGGCTTCAGAAAAATCTTAAGCTTCGTAAAATTGGTGAAAATGGTAATTTGTATACGAACTGTTCGTTTTTACTTTACGATTTATAACTTATACAGAAAGTTTGTATACCCTTCTGAAGTTATGGTAAAATTATAAAGGCAATGTTCATGACCAACATTTTTAACAGCACATGTTCCTGATGTTTTTTTTTCTTGTCTGTTGGAATACAAGTTAGTGTAAAGTTTGGATACAGGTTAAATTCTTCCAAGAGCCAGTTTCTTGTCTAAATTTTATAGTATTTTTCTTGGTATTCTTTCACAAAATACCGTGTACAAAAGATATCTTCGGTTTGAAACTCATACATCATCATCATTATTTTGAAAACTGTAATTAATATTATTAGGATAAGTCATTAAGCGGATCATTAGTCAATCCCTGATCGTATTTGTTTGTCGTTAACCACGAAGCTACAAAATGGGCTATCTTTGCTCTGCCCATAGTTGGTACAGAAACACGATTTTTAGTTTTATAAGCTCACAGACTTATTGCCGAGCTACCGGGAGTGGGTAGGCTGAGCGTATCAAGAACAAACTAGTGTTGTAGAACTTTAGTATTCTTGCATTAAGGTTTATCTGTTTTTTAATTTTTATTTAAAAAACATTGTATGAAAAACCATCTAATATAGCGAGTAATATCTTCAATGCAGCATTTTGATAAAACTAAAATAAAATTCCTAATATTTGTGTTATTACATCTAAAGAGACCCCATAGTTCACCAGTTATTTAAACACTGTGCAAGGTTTCTAAAGAAATGGAACTGTTATATTGTTACTACTTTCTAACTACTCGTTGGTAGTTGAAAGAAATATGGGCCAACCAAAATATTAGGATGTGCTTTATATCATTTGTTTAGATTGTTGTGTTTGTTGCCATATAAATCCAATAATGCGACACCTCTCTCATGGATTTTCTTCTTCTTTTTTTTTCATATAGCTAAGATAAATACTGCAATACAATAAAAGAATAAACATTTTAGATAAAGAATTTCTCGATATAAGTCATCACTGAAGTGTAACGTATCTAAAAACAACAGAATTTAAACACTTTGCAAGCTTAACATAGATATAGAACCACGCGCCTCCCAGTGGCAAAGCGGTAAGTCTGCGGACTTATAACGCTGGAAACCGGAATTTGATACTCATATTGGACACAGCAAATATAGCCCATTGCGTTGCTTTGTTCTTTACTACGAACAAACAAATAAAAACTATGCCCTACAAAGTCCCTCATATAGTTTCAACCAAAAAGTTAAAATCCAGCAAGAGTAATGAACATAAAAACAATCCATCCTATGCCAAATTAAGCCACAAACTATTATTAGGCCCTATACGAAACATAAACTAATATAAGCCTAGTGAGCAGTGAAGGCTGTTTATGAAATATGGCGGCCATTTTAATAACATTGATGGTTCAAAAATTATCAAAAGCTGAGCGTTGTATTTCTCTCTTTGTTCGCTATGCGACGACTTGGATCGGGACCATTTAGTTAGTTGGCAATCTTAAGACAACATTTATATATTTACATTAATAATTTGGTGGTTGAGGCTGAAATTTGCCTGAACTGTGAGTTACCACTTTTTAGATATCTGAGAGCATTCATAAATATACCGATCGCAATATTCAAGTTTGTTTATGTAGGGTACTGCTCAGTATGTTCACTAGGAGGCGTCGCAGATCAGGGTTATTCGGTTCTACGGAAATAGCCGAACATAGCTATTCCTTCTTGAGAAAATAATTTATTCAAAAAATTATAAAAAATCACAACTTAAATCTTATCAAAAAGTAAAATATTTGACGTCATCATACCAACAACAGAATTTCACTTAACAAATTAGCTTCGGCCCTGACTCCCAATAGGGGCGCTGCTCCCTAGGATTTCTTTACTACCCTGGGTTGTAATGCTTAGTTAGTGCCATATCTTTACTTTTGATAGTTTCTAAAGAGTCTGCAACATCTAATTCTTTTTTTTAACTACATAAATAATCTTAACTTTACCCCACATAATGGAACGTGCATTATTTACCCCATGTTCAGCCAATTCGGATTCATTAATTTTCCTTTTATTGATAGACGTTTCACGTTCTTTAAACCTGTATTTCAAACACCTAGAAGTTTGTCCGGTATAAGTTAAACCACAAGTACAGAAAACCTTATATACCGTTTTTACCTTCCTTGTTATTTTATCTTTAATTCTACTAACCAAATAACCTGTTTTCATAGGAGTGGTGAAAGCTATCTGACATTTAATATAATTTTATAAATATTTGATATATTTCTTAAGATTGACATTGAGATTGAATCTGCATATAGAGTTTTACAACTCTTTTTGGTTGTAATAAAATTATTATTGTGCTATTTTGTTTCCTATTAAGGTGCAATATCACAATATAAGGAAGAGATAAAACCATAATAAGTAAAGTTATTGCGCATAGTTATTATTTGTAACTTCAACACTAGTGCTTAAAATTTTAACATTTCATATATTCATTACCTATTTTATCCTGATAATTTCAGCAGTTACGTTTCTATTCTATATTTATTTTCTTTTATCATTTTAGGACCTTATCTACACCTATACCAAAACAAAATTTTGTAGTCTATTTAAATACTTCTAAATATTTCTTATTAGGTCCACATTGCCCACCAATGGCACAGTTGTACGTTTGCGGACTTATACTGCTCGAAACCGGGTTCCTTAAATGTCACGTGGTTTCCACAAGGTATTATCCATAATTTATTGAGAAATGTTAATTGTTAATTAGTAGTATTTTTATTGTTCTTCCAACGAGTTGTTGTTCCCATTAATCTTGTCACTTATTTAGTACTTTACAATGGTTTGTTTGTTAACAAGTAGTTTCATTGCTGTTTTTTTCATTCAAATACACGACCTTTCCTTGAACTTAGCTGGACCATCATAAGGAACAGTATTTCACCATTTCACTTAACAACAGTAATAACAACATGGTTGATATTAACGGCAAACTTTCGCCCAAACGATATAATACGTCACCACGTACCTCTTGTTGCGATTGTATTGATTGTTTATAATTTCTTTTATTCTGTCTTGATACAATGTTGTCTGAGAACACGCAATATAGTGTTAATCACACTTCATACAAACGATTTGCATAGCTGTATAATACAATGGCGCGTTGCCATAGATGTGCGTCTTTACGCCACGAACGACATGTTTAACACCTGTATTTTGTTCATGGCGATTTCCCGACCACTGAACATGTAATGTTGCCACAGATAACATTATGGTTGGAGAACTACGTCAAAGGTCTTGCTGAGAAATAATATTCACATAATGAGATTACTACACAATGGAGTGCCAAAGAACTCACAATTTCGAATAAGAGAATCTGTATAGTTCTTTTTTTAAAGTAGGAAAAATCGCTCAAGATAGCATTTAAAACACCACAGTCTCTGAAACTACGGTCTGAGAATATCCGGAGTAGTGTTTTCATCCGCAAAGTGAGGTCATGGTTACAAAGAGAACTCTTTGGCCCATGAAGCCATTGAAATGATGCTGGATATATCTTTTCTCGTGCCGTTATTAAGAAAATCAACAAGGATTTTAAGATGACAATGGCTTCAAGTCGCACCTATAAATCAATCATTGCTTTCATGGGAAATGTGGCTGAAGAAACAGGAATCGCAACAATCCCTTTCGACCACATACCTATGAAGTCCCCTAAATAGCTGAAACGGATTTCTTTTGCCAGCATAAACGTGGTGAATATGTGGAAAGTTTCTCAAAATGTGTAGTCTAAGATTGACATTGCTGTTATTCGTAAACACTTGTTGCAACGGATATTGAGATACCATGATATAAAGCAGTTGTGCGTAATTATTACCCTCAGAATCGGATCAAAAAACACTCGGTAATGTCGTAATGTCTCGTTTTTTATACAAGAACATGTTAATTAATTTACTAGTTACGTTGTTCTCTTCATAATTCATGCGGGCATGGCCTAATGGTTATCGCGTCGAGTTGCGGATCGAAAAATACAGGTTTATTAGAGACATGATATCGTTGAATACGTTCCGCACTTTCAGGTGTGAGTACGTTATAAAAATAACAGTCATTCTCGATATACGGTATAAAAAGTCCCTTGGTCAGTAGCTCAAAATTAGGTACGACTATATTTAATCGTAAGGTTTGTTTATTTATTTCTTTTATAGCAAAGCCACATTGGGCCACTTGCTGTATCCCCTGCGGGAATAGAACACCGGATTTTAGTTTTGTAAGTACGTAGGCCTAAAGGATCTCTGAATTACATTTTTAATCCACGTACGCATAGGAAGCCGTTTAGGTAGGAATTTGCAATTCTTTTAACCGTTATTTTGAATCTAACGGAAATTCCTTGCATTTTTTTTGTTGTTAAATAGTCCGTTTGACAAATGCAATTAAAAGAATATTCTTGTCTTAAAAGTCTCTTATAGCTTACAGTGATTTCATTCTGTGAAAGTAACGATGCATGAAATATATGGTTTTAATATTGGGTTAGCTCTAATACATCCTAGTTTAGGAAGAAGAAAAAAAGGAACTTTTATACAAGTTTGCGTAGATTAACACTTAAACAACCTTAACGTAAAAACAACGTAAATTGTAAGGTTATAGTCCAGAACTTCTACACCATAGCAAAAGAAGGCCTCAGAAATTTCTGTAACTTTTGCAATAAGATCTTAAGCTCAATGCAAACAACTCGGTACATGTTTTGAAACACCTATATACAAATACAATTCATCACTCCACGACCATGAGGACCAAGCCCCCTTTACCCGCAGGCCACAAATGATATCGATTGGTGACGACCTCCAGGCTAAATCTAATATACACTTAGCATAGTGTTTTCTGGTTACATGTCTGCATGCCAGTGTTGAAAAGCATAAACTAAAATATTTTAATTTCCTTGAAGCATGGCTAAGTTTTTATATCCCAAACAGATCAGAAAACTGAAGGGGTCGATATTATCAAATATAATGACATATGGATGACTTAACCACTCAGAAAATGCAAATTTGTAATGTTTTACACATAGTATTTATATAATAAATATACCGATTCATAATATAGATACATTTACGTAGTTTCTCTGCTGTATATACACGTGGCATCATTAATAATTTATAAATTACACTTTCTTGATCTTTGTCTAGTCATCTAAACCTGAAGCTAAGCGTAGTCTATTACAATATCAAGTGGGTTTTTTTATTTAAAATGCTGAACTTTTCTCTTAACAAGTAAACTCACGCAGTGGTAGATTGTCGGATGTTTTAGTGACTCCCAAAGTGGATAGTAGAAATTAGGTGTACCAAACAATCATGTTTTAATATTAAAACTTAACCCACAGTGAGGCGATGAAAAGTTGAGAACAAATTTTGGCTGGAAAGCTCAAAAGGCTAACTCTTTTTTTTTTTCATAATGAAATAATATCAATGAATGTGTATATTAAAAGGGTATATCAAGTCGTCCCCCACACCTAAAACCATAAAAGGTTCTTTTGGCTAATAGTTGGTATCCTTCTTTTGTAGTCCCCAGGGAGCACAACGGTAAGTGTATGGACTTACAACACTGAATTCGGAGTTCGATTCCCCGCAATAAACACTGCAGATAACCCAATGTGACTTTGCTCAGAAACAAACAAACCCTTTTTTAACATAGTCCTAATTTCAGATTGTCTTATTACAGAGTTGCCTGATATTGATTTATTTTTCTTCCTTTATGCACTTTCCTGTGACCTAATTCAATATTTTTTGCTGCTGACATTCGTCTATGTAGTTCCAACGATTTGAACCACGTCTTTGCTCAATTCAACCCTTTTCACGACAGGGACAAATCTGACGTTGAATTTCTCTGGGTTTCATCTAAATTTTTGTAAAGGATTGAGAGTATGGATCTGTATAGTCGCCTTAGCTGAGTTCATAAAAGTTGACATTCTCTAAGCTGCTGATGGTTTTGTTGCCTAGCATGAGCTTTTATATTTTCGTTTAGATTCTTGTTCACGCCTTTGAAATATTTCATCATCAGTTTCGGTTTACTAATTACACAAAAGCCATATTTTCACAACTGTAAAACTCATTATTTTGATATTCACCTGGTTATACTACTAAAAATTGTATTTCCAAATCGTAATGTTTACTTCACTTATATAAGTCCCTGTGATATTCTAATGCCTTCTCTTTCATATGCTCTGTTCTCATTCTCTAAATAATGCTTGTGTTTTCCGGGTTGTGTATTCATAACTTTCCTTGTCTTAAGTGCTCTAACCTTGTATTTCTATATCCTGTTTTATTTTTCCAGTAAAATGTGTTTGTTAATTTGGGGCGCGTTCTCTATGGTGGGTACAGCAGGTGTTTGTGCAACTACTGTCTTTGGTTATTTAGCGTTCCTATGAGAGATCATGGTTATAGTTAATTTCATGTGTTCGCCATATTTTAAATTATCTATTCGATGCGAATTTGTTTAACACACCTTGGTTTTGCAGATCCTGGATGGATTCCAAAATCATGATGACTACAGGTGAATCACCAAACTTCAGCCACAAAGGCTCTGGAATTCCCTGTGTGGCTGCCACTACGCGTTTCACAGCTCCTGTTCATATCGATGTGGGAGGCGATATCTACACATCCTCTTTACAGACACTTACAAAGTAAGTTTAATAAAATTATCTATATGTTATGAAAATCAGTGTTTCTGTAAATATCGGAATATTTCCTTCTTAATATAGATTGCAAAACCTAAAACTTGTGCTTCACCTTCTTAAAAGCCCCCAGTGACACAGCGGTATGTCTGTGGACTTACAACGCTAGAAACCGGGTTTCGATACCCGTGGTGGGCAGAGCACAGATAGCCCTTGTGTAGCTTTGTGCATAATTATAAACAAATAAACAAACAAACTTTCTTAAAATATTTAGATTGTTTGTTATTTAAAGAATTTTCATACAAAGCTACACAAAGGGCTATATTTGCTAGCAGTCCCTAAATTTCAATTGATAAACTAGAAAGATGGTAACTAGTGAATAGCACCCACTAGCAACTCTTGCGCTATTCTTGTCTGACCAAATAGTGTAATTCCCACATTCGCTCTTTTAGCGCATTGCGGTCCAAAACTACGAAGCGCGTTTTTGCGAAAAATGAAACGTAAACAGTGTACCCACGGATTCATAGTCCGAGCACTCTAACCACGTAGGCCACACTTAGCCCAAAGTACTCAGAACAGAACTTTTTATTTGTCTTCCGTCATTTGAAAAACTGGAATCGTTCCCATTCCGTGCCAAGAAAGTTAACCATACAGTTGTTTACGAGATATTTCAACGTTGACTCTACTGATAACGTGTTTGGAGTACCTTAAAGCAACAACAACAATTAATTAGCCAAACATTAATAGATATTATATGGTCTTCTTGGTACAACATAAATCATCTACAGATCAGTGATATACTTCAATCGAATAAACGAAACGGTGAAACAAATGTTCTATAACACTTACAAAGTGTTAGTTACAGTATATTAGAATTACTGAATATATCTGGACGTTTAAAAGCAAATTCTATACATACTAGATTTTTGTACGTTATATAGTTATATCTAAAATTCCTTTACATTCACTAGCTTATATTTAATAAATCGACACTTCTGAACATAGCCATACACAAAGTTAAAGAGGAGACAAAGTAATAAGTATTAATACTTTTTTAACATGAAAGATTTATTACATCTACGGCCAACTGTGATAGGATTGGGATTAGGTTGAAAATGCTTTCCAAATGTTGAATATTAAAAGTCCACTTTTATTTGTTTTTTGTTTTGATTAACAAGTTATGCCACTATAAATTAACGTCCGCGTTGCTAAACCCGAAGTCATGTCAGTAGAAATTAACGTCAGTTTTACCAAACCCGATAATTTAGTATAAACAGCAAGTTCTAGTCTAAAACCGATTCACAGTATTTCATGAGTAAGTAAAAACATTAACCCTGGAGAATCTTGGGTTTTGAGACTCATATGATTACATACATCCAGATCCATAAAAATGTATTTTTGAGATAGAAATTGTGTATTTAATGTTTAAAAATTTCAGTATCAAGCGTTAGAAATCAACATTATAACATATGACCTCACATATACTTTATTTCAATACATGATATATTCTAGCATATATAAAGTTGCAAAGATGATGCAAAGTTAACATAACATTAAAGGACAACAAGGGATCTATTAATCCATCTAGGCTGTCCTACCCACTAAATTAAGCTAACCCTCCCCCCAAAAAAATCTCAAAGCCGGCTTTTATCATTCAAATATTTATCAAGCTTTCCCTTAAACACCCTTAAAATAACTGCATCCACCACACAGTGTATCATTTCTCTATAATTTGCCTATAAATCATATTAACACATAATGTTTTAAAATAACCATTAGTCAAATGAATATATTTCTTAATATAAAAGTGGTAATTAGGATCATGTAGAGTTGTATATTTTTGTGAGCGATAATAAGCCATATGAAGGCGTATGCATGCCAATTGAAAGAGTCTGTTGTATCACATGAAAATGTCTGCATAGTATCTGATGATACAAATGTGTCCGTCCTCTTGCTCTACCATTCCGCAGGAGAAGCCGTCATTTGCATAAAAATCAAAAACTAGTCTATATAAATTACAGCTGCGCAGAAAGCTTTTGGTCACGACCAGTGTAAATGTCTTATGTTCGTGAATGCTATGTGAAGTTGTGACACCACTTCAACAAGCATCCTTTAAAATATTTGAAAATACAGCAGCTTTAAAGAACGGTGTTGCATCTACTGGAGAGCGATATATTGCAATACTTAATTGCGTCAGAATATCTACCTATCGAGGGAATGGCCCCAATAAGCAAAGCTTGCCACGTAATGTCATTCGCTGCAGGAACACTTCCAAATGTGTACTTGGATGAATCTGAAACTGAAATGACAAGGGTAATTATGGATTCAAGACAGACGGTGATTCCTATAATCAAAGACAAAGCACCTCTCTCACCTGAGCTGCTTACTGAGATTGCTGTCTGTACACAAGAAGTAGCCATCTATTTGCATCTTATAGTTGTTCAAGGAAACAGATTACCTGCATTATCTATTGCAAGTGTGAGGGACAATACAAAAGTGAATATTACTGAAAACTGTAGACAATGATGAAAATGACCCTGATGAGGAGTTGTTTTCTATTTTATATTACGTTAACAAATACACATAGAACCTCAGTACAATAATATTATGGAGATATTTAAATTTTTAGTATAGGCTTTAGCCCTGTCTCATAGTAGATAAAGTATGTATGAGCTGATACTTGTATCAATCGATTTTGTTACAAAAAGAAGACATATGTCATATATATTAGCATTATTTCATGTTTCTTCATTCCATATATTTCTGCAATTCCGTACTGTAATTAAAACTACTATATGAAATGTCTACCTTCGGAAATGCGAAATTACACTTATATGCATTAAGGGCAAAATTTGGGAATTTCGCAAAGTTTAATTAAAAATTTTTGTTACGTTATTGGGATAGTCTATGGATAATATCAAAACTAAAACTTACTTTTTCACTTACATTTTATGTGGACCTAAGTGAAAAAATTGGTGTAAGTCAAGATGTTTGAGGGCAATGAGGTATTTTTAGTTTGTAGAAAAACTAGACGAACCCGCAGAATTCCATTTCTTATACAAGGATGTACAATCGTTTTTGATACGAATAAAGAAAGAGAAAAGACGACGTATAGTGAATCTTTAAATGAATCTACCATACGAACTTCTGCAATGAAAGGTGGCATAAGAAACAGGTAACGATCGTGAAGACGAGACCTTGAGTAACCTATTGAAGAAATAACACACACGAAGATCTGTATCGTATTTTTATTCATAACAAAGTCAGGATAATCTTGCAAAGTATAGGTTTGAAGGGAGAGGCTTAACTAAAACCATCGTTACGTGTTCGGTTAACACAGACAAGAAATATCACGAATTCGTGTTTTTCGAACACACGTTTGATGCTAGAGCTCATACATATGGTTACAGGCAAGGTTTTCAATAAGAGTTGATTCACTAATTGGCTACTCTTAAACAGCCGAGCTATGTAACTTAGTAGTGGCTATGCATCTTTTGACCTAAAACAAAAGTCTCTCACGAATTACACTGGATATCTTTTAACGAGGGAATTTCTTTGTTACCCCTGTCTGTAAAAGTTTAGTTCCGGTTTTGTAGTTTTACGTACATATATCTTACAGACTAAGAAGACCACTTAAGAACTAAGAAACTATAATTTCCATTCTTGGTGTTCAGGTGATTGCACAGCGAGTTTTATGTCTTGCGTAGGGAGTTGTGACATATGACGTTCACGAGTCGCAAGTTCATGAATGTAGAAGTTCCCATATATTCATATGCGTAAACGTAACAAGGAAGACTGACTTTTCTGCACGTTTCCATACTAAGTTGCCTGTTATGAACTTAAGTCACTTAAGGAAACAAATCTTAGCAAAATAATGTTTCATGTTAAGTTACAATATTTCAGTGAAGTAATTTACAACAAAGAAAAGGGTGGTGTAATTTGATACATTACCTTCTACTGTTTTCTTTAATGGCGTTGTTGTTGTTGTTTTAACAAAGTATGTACCCATCTCTGAGAGTTACAAACAATTCTCTGTTTATTTATCATTACATACAAATAAATGTATGGATATGTGTCTATACACAGTAGCTTATTATGATGCAAGACGTGGATGCAGACTTCGTAGGTACGTTTTATAATTGCACCCCATAAACTTAGACAGTGAACAATATCTACCTGTCTTTCTTGTCACAAGAAAAGCCCCCCCCCCCCATCGGTTGCTCAGCGGTAAGCTTGAGGATATATAATGCCTATATTATGAATTAAATACCCACGGTGGACACAGCGCAAGTAAAAAAAGGATTGTTAAGTAATGTTTTGCATTATTGCTAAAACGTTTCTTTTGCCCCCCCCCCCAAGTGGCCCAGCGCTATTTCTGCGGACTTACAACGCTAGAATCCGGGTTTCGATACCCGTGGTGGGCAGAGCACAGCTAGCCCATTGTGTAGCTTTGTGCTTAATTACAAACAAACAAACAAACGTTTCTTTTAGTTATACAACAAGGGTTCTTGCAAGGTGCATTACTTTCGCCACAGGTCAGTCGTAGCTTACGTTTAGCAAGCCCGAAGTGTGAATCCGAAGATTCTTGGTCCCAACCTGTTGCCGCAAAATTGCGATTCAAACTCACCTTGGTACGTAATAAGATCGGAAGACAAATATCACTATTTTATCATTTAAGAATTGGCGGTGGCCACTATTGACTAGTAGCCTTCCATTTAGTCTATCAGTTCAAAATTAAGGACGGTTATGCACAGATGGCCCTTGTGTAGATCTTTACGAAATTCTGAAACAAAAATTTCGCCTCCTACTGGTAATAAGTAAAAATAGTTACAGCATAATGTGCCACTTTTAATTATAATGCTTATTTTATTGAAACAATAATTCACAATACCTAGTTATTTCTGTTGCTAATTGTTTGCTGAAATGCTATATTTAACTCTTGTAATAATTCAGTATTGTGTCGTTTATAAATTAAATATTGTTAATAACTTGAATAATAAACCACCAAGAGATGCTATTTTTAATATATCACTAAATTTTACGAATATAATTATACACGAAAATAACAAATAAGCAATTAATTATATATGATAAAAACTCTTAACTATTTGAACTTTATAAGTACGTCCTTTAATGTAATATTCACCCCTGAAATATGCTAAGCTACTGATAATGCTTTATATATAATATATATTTCATGTAATGAATAATACCGTAGTTTTTTCCGTGTTCTTCAGACACCCAGACTCACGACTTGCCCGGATGTTTAATGGAAGTATTCCCATAGTCCTGGACACTCTGAAACAACACTACTTTATCGACCGAGACGGAAAAATGTTCCGTCACATCTTGAATTTCTTAAGAACAAATGCACTGCCGATTCCAGAAGACTTTGATGAGTTGGATCTCCTTCTAGAAGAAGCAATGTTTTATGAAATTCGCCCTTTGATCAAAATGCTGGAAAATCTAAAAAACAAAAGAAATTATAAAAATGATAATTTTATCAGTAAAAGCAATCATTACAAAGTTACTTCATCAGTAAATGGTGAAGACAAGAACGAAGAAAATAATTTTAACTGTCTGGCTCTTAATATTAGTCCAGACCTTGGAGAGAGAATAATGATCAGCGGAGAACGATCCCTGGTGGAGGATGTTTTTCCAGAAATCAGTCAAGCTTTGATGGATGCGCGTAGTGGAGTAATTTGGAACACAGATTCGAAATACGTGATCAGATTTCCACTGAACGGATACTGTAAACTTAGTTCCTTAGAAGCAGTCGCCCGTTTATTAAACTTTGGCTATCATATCATGGCCTCCAATGGGGGCGGTGTTGAAGGTCAACAGTTTACTGAATATCTGTTTGTGCGAGGGAAAAAAATGTTTTTTGTATAACTCGTTAAGTTGATTTCTTTCTGACACGTGAATCCTTTTGTAATAATTTACAAGGAAAGATAAAATTATCTGTACATACGGAATTATGTACTATCAAGTAGGTTTTAAAGAGCAGCTGAAGAAGCGTGATCTGTCATGAATAGCGCATATGCCCAAAGCAGTAGCACGTTACTTAGCTATAGAGTATGTCCTCTTTTCTTCTTCTTCTTTTTTTTGTAAATGTACACCATATTTAAGGACCCTCAAAATATAACATTGGGTGTAAATTTGTAAATTTATGTCAAGATAGCACCTATCTATGTATATAACACATATTATAGATATTACTTCCTTATCTAAAATATCTTTACTGGTGTTAAGTAATCGCTGTAGTACAGTATGGATCATGCTAATGTAATGATTTCATCCACTAAAAAGCGTTTCTGTAACAGAACTGAAATTAATCTAATTTATTATATATGTATGACACCACACGTTGTACCCGAGTAATGAAAACATTTTACACTTGTGTGAGAATAATCCAGTTATTTTTTTAGAGTAATAGTTTAAGTTAATCAAAATAAAATCTATCTTTGGAAAATAAAATATTATAATAATTTTGAACCAAAACAAATTATTCCTAAGGTATTAAAAGAACATACATTTAACTTGCAAGTAAATGAACTTCCTGTGATTTCTTGTTCAAAGTGACAGAACGTCTGTAGCTTTGCGCGAAATTCAAAACAAACAAACAATCTTCAACTCTTGAGCGTGCTTATTGGTTTATTTATACACAATGAAACTGTCATACTTTTAATTCCATCACTATTTACTAAAATCACGTAATTATTATTCATAAAAGTCAACAACATTTGAAATTATTAAAAGACAAATAAGAAATATTTACCTGAGTTTTGATTAAATCAATCATAGGTTTATCACCTCTGGCTTATACTCTCGAACCTAAGCCTTCGATTTAATAACTTACAATAAATTTCAATATTCCTAAAACTACTTTCAAAATGAATTGTTCCACGAGTGGACAGTGATAAATTTACGGATTCACAACACTGAAATCTGTGGTTCGATTCCATGTGAGTCACAGAATGGAGTTAACTAGATGTGTAGCTTTGCACAAAGAAAAAACAACAGAACGATTTGCACCTTTACTTATGATACTAATAGCTAATTATTTGTTTAAAATGCTAAACATTTCAATTTTATTAAATATGATCTATATTTAAGACGCTTTAAAACTATTCTGCAAGTGACCTGAACTTTATATTATTAAATAAAAATCTAATACCCTATAAAAGTAAATTAGAAATGTGTTTAGGCAATAAATTATATATGCTGTCTTCAAGCAATGTGTGTGTGTGTTTTTGAAGCAATCTCCAAAAGTAAATTCCTATGCCAAATTAGCAAAATAGGCTATCAAAAATATTTTTAGATGCTAGTTAGACATAAAAACTTTACTGATGACCTATTGTATCCTTCATTATTCATTAAAAATTGAGAAAATGACCAATGACCCTGCCCTTAGATTGACACTTAATCTACTAAAAGTTTCGGGGTACAAGTTATCAAGTTAGAGTATTTATGGTTTGGGATTTTTTTTTATCTGTGCTTCCAGAACAGACATTTTGTTCTGCTGTATACAAAATAAATATGTTATCTTCTTACCACCATGCAAACAAGGCAAATAAGATACTCTTCCTTCAAAAACCTACTTTACATTTAAAACATTGACTTATTTTGGCTATCCATAATTAGCTTATTTTTAATAAGCAAAAAGGTAAGTTTTTTATTTTACCGATATATCTACTCCTTTCATTTATTATAAGCTTTATTTTTTCTAGTACATCCAATTTTTATACATCAAAACATAAAATCACGAACTACCATAAATCATTACATTACTTTTAAAACGTCTCCCAGGAGCCAAGGGGTGTCTTTACACTACAATGTGTTGAATATTAAAAGTACGTTCAATCCGGAAACTCCCAAAGAGGGTGGTTTTGAACGTATCTTTTCGAAACAAGTTTTCGTTTGTTAATTGAAAAAAAAATTAAGTGAAATACAGCGTCCTCAACTCTCCATACTAGGTAATACTAAAGTCTACCCGCTGGGAGTAAATTCAGTATATATATCAATAAAGCCACATTCTCAGCATCATTAATTAAGCAATTGCCAACCTTTTATGCTTCTGCTATAACTTTTTTATGTTTACCTTTCAATTGAGATACGAACGATTTCACCTGCGATTCTGTAGGGAAGGTCGAAGCATCACGATAGTGAGCAGTAGGATGAGCAGACAGGAACACCTTGAAAGCAGCTACAGGCATAATGTTGTACTCGGCTTGCTGCACGATATCTACCAAGGTGGTTCTAAACGGTTTCTGAATACTTGTGCGTGTCATTTGGAGACTTCCATGCTTCTTGTGCTTGGCCGTTAAACTCGTAATGTGCTGATGGATTTCAGTCACCTTACCACTTAAATTTACTTTTCGCGGCCTCAACGCTAAAAGAGTGTGGGAAGTGCCTTCTTTTTAGCCAATAAAAATGTTCAAAAAAATTCAGTTCAAATTAAGAAAAACCAGATTGGTTAGTTTTTTCCAACAAAAACAATATCCTCCACTGGCTCGTGAGGGATCTGTTAAAAGTAATGAAACCTTGTAAATTCAATTACTTTAGAATTGTAATGACAGGAAACGTATTATGACGTGTGTCGTTCTCTGATCGAGAAATATTTCTTTTTCTAATGTAAAGAAAAAAACAAGCACTGGTATAGTTGAATAATTTTTTCGTTCTTTTTTTTGTTATTACTTGTTCAACATATTTCTCCCTTTAATCTTAAAATTTAATAGAAAGTAATAGTAAATGTCATGTATAGTTTAGAAGTTTTTACATTAATGCAACCTGCTGCCATCTATCCCTTAAAGAGGAAGCTATGTTTGCTTTTCAGGCTTAATTAAAAATTGAAATCACAATGTTTTTTCGTAGCATTAATCTTGAACATAATGTTAAAGAGTCGAATAAGCGAATTAAAGGTGTATAAAGGTATGATTTCAGAGCCAACTTTGTTTCCTAGGACTTTAGTTTAGTAATAGAACTCATTAGCTGGGCTGAACATATGTTGTTTGTTGTTCATCGCAAAGCTACACAGATGGATATCCAAATAATGTTTACATCAGTCATAAAAATTTCATTAACCTCTTTAGTGCGATCAAAATGTTATTAAACAAAAATAGTTTTCTTTCCTTAATGCTTCGCCGAAGGAAAAATAAAGTAGCTTCAACTGTATTAGTTTTTAGCATTACAATATGAGCAACTTGCTACGGCGTTATGATATCGAATACATTGTTAATCACGTATATCTATATCTACACTACTTTATTGAGCAAAGATATTATTTCAGACGACGGTTTTACTTTTATCAAAAACACATTCCTCTACATGTGAGGTTAAGGGGCATAATCTCCACAAGAATTTGTTGTTTTTTAAATCTCAAATGGTACTATTTCTTACATTTTAGCTCAAACATGGACTAAATAACTGAATAAGATCCGCAGAATAACATGAAATTCCAGCACAAAATGTTTTACAGGAGTAAAACTGATTTCCCTGACTGCAACTGTGTTGGGAAAAAGAAAGACTAAATTCAGCATAAAGTACAAAAAATATATATATTTAATTCACAAGCAATTAAAATATGAGTGTATTCGCGGAGGACAATGCCTTTACTGGAGACAGAGAGCTCTCAAAAATGTCTGCTGGAAGTCAATGAAGCTGTAATGTAGGCTTAAAACAACTTATGACAGTGTAAAAGTGTTCAAGCTTTTAGAAACGTTAAAGAAAGAAATAAACTAATTTATGATAATTATGTGGACTAGAAGTTGAATTACTTTCACTAAATAATTCAAAAGAATCTGCAAATGAAAGAACAACGCTACAACACTGATGTTAGGAGTAGAATTTATTTTGGTGAAAATAAAATAGCACTTTGACTAAACTTTAACTGTTGAGATCATAGAATGAGAGCGAAGTATTATCTGAAATAATGAAATTAGTAGGACAAGATCAGAAAGAAATTTAGAGAAAAGTTTGAAGAGGGACAGTGAAAAATAGATAGAAAATTAAAAGAAGATCAAGAGGTAAGAAACGGGAATTTAGATGAAGAGTTACAAGAAAGGGAAGTCCCATTTAAAGAAGGATTAAAATAAAATCTAATTGAAGATAAGATTGGTGAATCTAGTGTAGATATACAAAGAGATTCCAACAATAGGATTTAAGACGAATGAAAAAGCTGTAATGACACAACTGATGAAGTACAGCAAGGCTGTAGTGATAAAATATATGATGTCAAGAGTGAAGTAAAGAAATACATCAACGGTGTAGAAAAAACATCTGGAAAATGAATTATTCAAGATTTCCAACTTAAAGCGCCAGCTACAACAATATATGGCCAAGTATATCTGATTTGGTCTATTCTTATTATCACTACTATTGTTCCACTTATTACTGAAGGACCTTCCTGTCTACTACAGCCATGAAACTATCAAATCCAGCTTTAGAATTTAGCTGGACAATTCAACATCGCCGGTTAAAAAACTAACTGACTATAATGGTAAAGTGTCATGGAAATCATATCGAGCTCATTTTGAAATCATTTCTAGAGTAAATGGAATAGCAAACAACAAGCTACCCATTTTGCAGCGCATTTAAAAGTACCAGCTTTGATAACATAAAGTAACGTTCCAAATGAGAGCCATAACAATTATCAATCATTGGTAGCCACCTTATCCAAAAGGTTCATAGTGTAGTATCAGAAATAAGTACTTAGAGTCACGTTCCAAAACAGAGTATGAAGGGGAAAAAAAGAAACCTTAGCCGAGCTTGCAGAAACTTTTAAAAGACTAGCCCAATTATCTTACTCCCATCTTTCTCGTGAAATGATGGATTCGTTGGTATAGCAGACGAAGACAACTCTCCCCAACAATAGTATAGAATAATAGAATGAATTAATCAGACAGCTGAATGGAATATAATCTCCCAAAGGATACCAGACAACAATTAATTATTACAATTGTGGAAAACCTGGTCATTATTGCTGAGACTGTAAGAAATCAATACAAAGAGACAGAGCTCAACCAAATCAAAAGAACAATACAAAGCTAACCAGACATCAAGAAAACGGGAATTAGTTGGATTTATGAGGTGAAGTTCAGATGGAAATGCTCCATTTACTACGAATGGAAAAAGATCATTATTTGAGAAAAATCGCCCACCAGCTTATTGATGGGAAACCTTGCAGTATGCTGATTGACGCTGGTTCCACAACTATAATTGTTTATCCCAGGTTGTTAATGAAAGATGCGACACTGCCTTCAGAGATGAAGAAAGACGAGGGATATTGATGTAAACACCAGGTGGACATAAAGTTCCAGCAAAAGAGAAGTTGGAAGTTGTCCTTACTGTAGGAAACTTCCCTATAACTTATAATGTGTGTAATTTACATCGAGGAAGAAT